GCACCTTTGAAGTAGTACTGGGTTTCATGAGCGGGGCTCTTCATGAGCCTCTTAGTAAATAAGAAAGATCTTTTTTCCCCAGGAAGCACTACTTCTAAATTTTTTAAGATTTTAACTTACTCTATTCATCACAAAATCTTTTATCAAGAAGGCCTGTGTAAGTTGTTTTTCCAAGAAAACAATTGCAAGAATAAAGCAGAAGACGGGCAAGACTCTTGGACTCCCCACCAGGCTACAGGGAGAAGAGCAGGGAGGAGGGAAAAAAAAAAAAATCACACCCAAGGTAGGTAGGTAGTTATGGCAGTATCAATAAAGGAAAAAAAGGTAGGCTGAGTCTCAGTTGCCTGCTGCAAAGACATAGCACAAAGCATTATCCTTTAACTGACTGAAAAGAGGTTTCAGGGCTAAGGGATGAAACACCAATTTCATTGAAAGCTGCTATTTCCACTCAACCTTAGTGTGGAATCTGTACCACAGTTCTCATCCTGTGATCTTTAGCACTTCTCTGTAAGACCCCGGGGACTCAGACCGCACACTTTAAGAAAATGTTTCTTGGGGCTGGGGATCTAGCTCAGCAGCATAAGCACCTGCCTTGCAAGCAGGTAGTCGTGAGTTCAATCCCCGGTACCAATAAAAAGGAAAAAGACCAAAAAAAAAAAAAAAGAAAAGAAAACGTTTCTTTAACCCGTCCATCACCTGTCCATATTCATTTCCGCACCATTACAGACAGAAGACAGATTTTGACTAGAAGATGGTGGCCACAGAGCATTCTGATTACCACCACCCCACTTTTCTCAAATCACCATCTTCATCCCCGCTGAACCCCAGGGTCTCCCCATCATCCTACTCTTCCAACTCACCTCTCAAGGCTGGCAGCTCTTACACAGACCTGTTAAGTGACTTATCTATAACCCAAGTTTTCTTTGTTTTTTGTTTGTTTGTGGTACCGGGGATCGAACTCAGGACTTCATACTTGCCAGGAAGGCGCTTATGCCACTGAGCTAAATCCCCAGCCCCTACAACCCAAGTTTAAACACAAAATCAACAGTCTAGTCTTCCTGTCCCTATTGCCAACCAAAAATATATACAAGGTAAAGGTCCAATTTATATGAAAAGTATCTAGGTAAATTTAAGATGCTTTCTACCATCAGATGAGAATTTCTAATCAAGGGTAAGAAAATAGTATGTAGGGATACCTACTTCCACAGATCAAGATTTAGAGTGGCAATGATTTTCTAAATTCATCCTTACTAATACTATTGACATTGTAGACCCCTGAAGAGAGTATAGTAGTATACACAGTGAGATACTCCACATTTTCACTCAAGATTGTGTCATTCGCAAAGGCTTTATCATTGAAGTCACAGCAACCATTTTTTTTATTAGATTCTGCCAAATATTCACTGAGGATTAGCTTATAAATAAAACACATGGTCTAAATATACCTGGGAAGTGTTTCAGCACTGTAAAAAGGCAGGGACAGGAAGAGCTAATTAATAGTGACAAATGATCCACAGGAAGAGAGAATACAATCCTTGAGATTACCTGAATATGTTCATCCAAATTAACAAAATAATTTTTTTGAAGTTCCCATATGTGCTCTTTACCAATTTAAGGAAATCATTTATTAACATATTATAAATTAAAATTATTGCCTGTTTTTAAGTATGTTCAATAAGTTTAGTCAAAAACGTAAATAAAATTCCTGTATTTTATAGATCAACATCCAAGTACATTCCTTTTAAAGATAAGTCCCATGTCTTCAGGTTATACTAAAAAGGGAAGCTGGGCATGGTGGCACACACCTGTAATGCCAGCACTTAGGAGGCTGAAACAGGAAGATCAAGTGAGTTTAAGGCCAGCCTGCACTACACAGTGAGACCATGCCACACTGAGACCGTACATTACAGTGTATGATTTTGTACATACAGGCAAAGTTTCACATGCAAACAAAGACTCAAAACCAGTTTTCTGGATTTCAGTGGCAACTGAAGAAAAAGGATACCATCCATGACTCCCCGAGCACAGAAACTAAGAAATAATCTAGAAACAACTCAAAATGAAACATACTCCACACATTCTCCTACCTCCAGTTTACTTTTTACTTCTTGCTGGTTAATACACTCTTCAACAGTTAAGAATTACTGCATTATTTAATCTACTTTATGTGTGCATTCATAAATCTTTTCAGATAAATGAGCACACTTATCCATACAGGGTTATCCTAGAAAGGGTTAAAACTAAAAAATGATGGCCTGAAATAGGGGGGAAGCAAAGCTTTGAAAACACAGTATGACATCAGCCCCATCCACGCACTCTGCACTCCCCAGCTTCCTACCTCTACTTTTCCAGGTAGGTACCATGAACTACAGAAAGTCCCATGTTCAGAAATACTATCAAAAGAACTCGGAAACACTTAGCCCTTGAACTTGACTGCAAGTGATGTTTTCATGATACATCTGAATGGTCAAAATCCTTTTCCTTGGAAGCATAGCTGAAAGTGCGATCATACATACATAAACTCGCCAGTGTGCAAGAGTCCAAGAAACATGTAAGACATCAACTGTTCATACCGCTCCCCCTCATAAGGAAAAAGATGAGAAATGACACTTCCCTAAAGGTCATAAACACACCAATAACCTTTGCCCTGTCATTTCTTAGGCGCAACATGATTACAGAGCTGTAGTGTGCCCCACTCAACGCCACCCACAGTAGTAAGCAGCACCAACGATCCCTCCTAGGATATTCTTCCACCATTATTCAAGCAAAGCGTGTGCATGTACAGGACATCCCGTACAGGTGAAGAAACAGATGTGGTTAGCTGGTACATCACCTTTCCTCTGGTTAACAGCCGCAACCACAACTTAGGTGCCTCAATGTTTGCAACTCTGACCTCAAAGATAATGTGGCGTTTTCATGATCTTGTGTCATTCTCTTAGCCTTGACACCCCAAGTCAGTTTGATTTTGCCCATTGCTGCTGGATATTCCAATATACACTACCTTTCTTGTTACACAGGCCTTAAACAACGTACTTATCCCTAATCACACATTAAAAGGTGCTTCTTAGGTTTATGTTGGTAAAAACAAGTATTCCACTACAAAAGTCACTTAATTCTCTCACTAAAAAGAAAAACAATTGAATCTCTATTAGGCCAAAAGCTCTGTGTATAGTCCTCTAAGGTTGCCAATTTAATAGTGCTGAGAAAAAGGTCTATGACAACTGACTCAGAAGTAAACATGGGAAAAAAAGTTCAAAGTATAGACTAAATTGTACTGAAAACCCAAGTCCCATAACTGAGCAAAGAACACTCCCAGTAATCTGGATTAACAACAGGCATTGCATCTCCCAATAGAAACAAAGTATGTTGGAGCTGGAGAGTGCTCCACACCTTCCCTGCCACCCAGCAACATATTCTCCAGTCTCTGGAGTCTTCTTCAAAGAATGCCTGGGCCCAGGAAGAGGTCCTGGTCACGTCCTTCACTATCAGGACCTCACTAGAATTCACCCCTGCTCAGCCCCTACACCAACCTGCCAGCATGACCAACCAGGCCATACCCTGCAACTACCCAGTGCCCATGCGAGATGATGGGGACATGCCTCACGCGCCCAGTCACCCCTAGGACCCCTAGGGCCTCAGCCTGAAGTGGCTGAAGAAACTGTAAGTACCTCTTTCCATGGACAGTGAGGTGGGCCCCTGTCCCCCAATATAGCATGAAAGCCAACCCCCAACCAAAAGAAAAAACAAAAAAGATTTCTTTAACTTTTATTTTTTAGTACCAGGAATCAAACTCACACCTTCTACTTATTGGGCAGGCACTGAGCTGCTGAGCTCTATCCCCAGCTCTGCGTGTGTGTGTGTGTGTGTGTGTACCTATATATATGTATACATATATATATTGGAGCTGAAGAGAAACTTAGAGCCGATTTAGACAAGTCCTTCATCTTTAGAATATAAGAAAAAAAGTATCTGAAAAAAAGAAAAGAGGGGCCCGGGATTTAGCTCAGCAGCTCTAGCACTTGCCTAGTAAGGGCAAGTTCATGAATTCGATCCCCAGTACCGAGAAAAAAGTATCTGAAGAGTCCACAAGAAAATAGGCTTGAAACTTATGGCTGTGTATCAGCGTAATTGTTCTAAAACAACACTGTCCAGAACACCTCAGGGGGATGAAAATGTTTTGTATCTGTGTTCACCAAAATAGTAGCCACTAGTTACTGACCGAATGAGTAATGAAAATGAAGCCATTATGACTGAAGAACATAATTGCTAAATTTATTGAAATCTAATCCAAACTGAAACTGCAACTTGTAGACTGTGGCTACTATAGAATAAAATACTACCTTAAAAGGCTGGCTATTAAGTACTTTAAATAAAGTTCTTTAACCCCCTCTTCTGCCTATGAGTATATATATGAAATTTCTTATGTGCTAAATATTTCATTCAGCAATATAATCTCCACTCCCACCCCATGTTAGGGACTGAACCCAGAAGCTATACCCTCAAACTCTGACAGAGTCTCTGTACATTGCCCAGGCTGGGCTCAAATTTGTGATCCTCCTATGTCAGCCTCCAAGTCACCAGAATATAGTACTGGGATTACAGGCATGTACCAGTAAGCCCAGCTAGCAATGTCATCTTGTCATATAAGGACCCACTCCAGAGCAGGATTACTAGTCCTCAAATCCCTAACAGAACTGTTACCCACAGCTAGAATGCATACCACTCTGAAAAATACACTTGCAAACCACTGTTACTAAAAAGTCACAATATCCGGGGCTGGGGATTTAGCTCAGCGGCATTAAGCGCTTGCCATGGCAGGCAGTCGTGAGTTCAATCCCCGGTACCGATAAAAAGGAAAAAGACAAAAAAAAAGTCACAATATCCAACAAACCGGAATCTAGATGCTTTAAGTGTTTCGTTAAAATGTGTTAGGCCATGACCAGTCACTTCCTTCGTGTGGCTTTCCCAAGATACCAATTTTAACCTTTCTTCAAAAAGAGATGCTACTTCGGTCATGAGCGTGACGACTGGTGGTCAGGACTTGTGCAAAATGCATGAGATGTGCCTCCCTCAAACCAAAGCACATTACCTGTCTGACATGGGGGGGAGGGGGAACAGAGCAAAGAATTCTGGAGGAAGAAAAGGGACAGCGTGGCCACATCTAAAAGCTCAGGTTAGAGAAGGGAATTAACCTCAATCTTGAGCTTCAATTACTGTAGGATTTCAAAACATGACATCAGTTTGCATGGATACCACCTCCTTAATGCCTAATTTAAAAATCCAAAATTATATTAGTTATCATCTTAGTACTCTAAGTGAATAATACTTTATATGCTATTCATTCTTTCTTTTAAAGAGCTTTATTGATGTCAAAAGATTTTTAGTCTTCTGATTTTTCCAGCTAGGAAAAGGTTGATACATGAAAAACTAGTGTTAATTCTGATACCATTTAAGAAAACAGATTTTTTTGTAGTTAAAATTTTTTATCATGACTTAAAAGTACTGAATTTACCTCTCAGGGAAGGGGTAGGAGACAGTGAATGGGTAGAAGAGTGAACAGGAAGGAGAACAATAAATAGGGCAAAGAAGAAGATAATCCAAAACAGCCATCTATCCTATAAGTTAACTGGACCTATCAAAACTACTGCCTCAAGCCAGTTTTACAAAAGGACGTTTTCTTTTTTTAAAAATGTTATCTCCCTGTATTTGAACTTCTCATAAGGGCAAATGCAACATTCTTCTGGAGATCCCAACAAGAAGATAGGTCAAGCAGGTATATTCACTAGTGACTACTCAATTCAAGTCATGCTGTATCTTCAGATGTACGCGACACTCAAAGGTACAGTGAAGCTGCACAGACAAGTCGCTCTGTTAAGGGAACACTTAAGGGGGTTTTAGAATCAAGGGGTAATTAGTGACATCACCGGCATGCACATTATACTGATTAGCTAGTGATTCACCCTACATGCACGTGGACTGGAAAGCCCAGCTTAAAAACCAGCTCAAGTGCAGCCAACTGGGAGCTGAGAATGACTGAAAAAGCAAGAGTGTGAGAGTCGCACACTGCTGGGAGCAAGCACACCAGCCAGATGATCCACGCAGTAAAAACAACACACACGGTGTCCCACACTAATTCACAAAGCCTGAGCCTACAGGAAAAACTATATATTGATCCTATTTAAGCTAAACAGCTCAGCACTTTGTGATTGCCAAAAATAAAAGTGGAATAAAACAAATTATGTTTTCGATCAACTTTACCATTTCAAGAATGGAATTTATTTTGTGGGACTATGCCTATTGCCACCTCTGCCTACTTTCATATCCTATATCCCTAAAATACAAATTCTATGTACCAAACTAGTTTGTACACAAAAGACTTCAACAGAGAGTCAGGCATGGTGCTGCACACCTGTAATCCCAGCACTCAGAAGGCTGAATCAGAAGGATCACCATGAGTTTGCTATTCCTCCTGCTGAGACAAAATATCCAACACCAAAAGTTAAAGGAGGAAAGGTTTATTTAGCTCACAGTTTGTAGGGGTTCAGTTCATAGTTGGCTGGCTCCGAGGCAGGGTGACATGGCAGATGGGCATCACAGAAGAGAAACAGTTCATGGTGGGCAGAAGGAAGCAGTGAGCAACAAGCACCAGCAACCCTCTTTCAGTCCCTCACATCCTACCCACCGTAGTTTGGGTAACACAGAGTGGCTGAGCCTTAAGCCTCGCATTGCCCCATGAATCCATCCCAGCATCACATGCTTGATCCCAGCACCACACTCTCTAGATCCAGCCACCTCCAAAATACAGCCATAATGCCTACCTTGCTAGCGAAAATACATTCATGTATTATTTATCTTGCAATTTGATTTACTGAAATAGAAGAGCTTTATCTTCAAATCAACAGTTTACCTAGTAAATCTCATATTTAAATATTCTGTTACTCCCCAAATACCAAACTAAATAATTTTGTCCCCTATGCTGTAAACTTATTTACAAAACTTTTGAGGGTCCCACAGTCTTCATCATGATAGACTGTTTCCAATTATGAGAGCAAAATGTCCACAGTAATAATTGGGTTTTAACACTAATCAGTAAAATTGGGGGGGGGACTCCCATTCAACCTCTATTCTCACTAATTACCCTTTCTGTTATCCTGTACTATACATAATATATTCTTATCCTCTTAATTCTGTAATATTCTAGGTCTTTTCTTTAAATAACTTTTGGAAACATAAACTAGGTCTTTTGGGGGGGGGCGGTGTACTGGGGATCGAACTCATGACCTTGCGCTTGCCAGGCAGGTGCTTATGCCACTGAGCTAAATGCCCAGCTAATTTTTGGAAATATTAATGAAGACTCTATATGCCTCCATACACATTAAATGCCTAAACAATTTCAGAGTCAGAGCTAGAGCTCAGTGGTAGAATACTTGCCTAATAAGTGTAAGGTCCATTTCAGCACTGAAAAAAAGCCTAAAAAATTTTGAAAGGCAGATCAATACTACTGCTATCCAAATACCTTTGACGTTTTCATGTATGTACAGACAGGTATTAACTAAAGAAAACATATAGATGTGGTGTGCATTCCTGCAATCAAGAGGCTGAGGCAGGAGGACCCCAATTCAAGGCCAATCTGGACAATTTAGTAAGACCTTGTCTCAAAAAGATAAGAAGGGCTAAAGGTATAGCCTAGTAGCAGACTGCCCCCAGTCCAACCCCCATGTTTCATCTTAACCATGAACATTAGCAATAAGCACCTTTTTTTTTTATAAGCATCTTTTCTGCCTGATTACTAAATACCTAAAAAGAGCCAGGAAAATGCTCATGCTTCACTAAAAATTTTAAGTCCAAGTTACAGGGAAAAAAATGTTTTAATCCTAAAAGACATACATACTATATTAAGAACTTCCAACTTTTATAAACAGAGTGATTTTCAGCAATTTCTAAGGTAGCAGATTTTCCCAGTGGGAAGATGGGTCTCTCTATAAAATAATTACCCATATGCAATTACACAATATAACAGAGACACACAAAACTGGAAACTAAAGGGTTGTAAGCAATAACTCATTTGCAATGTTTGTTCCTCTTGGCGTTCTCCTTCCCATAGCGCTTCCACAGAAAAGATCTCAGATCTCTCCTCTTTACCAAGCCCCTCTGATTGGGGTCCTGACTGGACAATGGTGAGAGCAAATCCTACCGCCTGAGTCACCAGAGCGAGCAGCAATCCTAAAGGAACTGCCTTTACTCTGCTGGTGCCAGAATATTCTGCTGAGAGGCTGCTCTGCAAAGGCTTGGGTGTGGGTTCTGGCTAGCTGACTTTAAAGACCTACAGCTTCCAGAGTGCTATGTTGCACAGAATTTTTAGAGAACAAAAATGGCCTTCATTTTCATGAAGGGAAAAAAGATGCCTCCTGAAAGACTTTCAACTCTATTTCTCGCTATTCTTCCCCACCCCACACCACTCATGCCACCACCCCGGCTGGCTTGGATTACTCCTCCTCACAGACGTTCTCTATCTCTGGTCCTGGCAACATACACCGCTTTCATAAAGACACACAGAATCACACACAGACACACCCAGCCACTCTCAAGATCATCCAATAACCTTTCACATCAAAGGCAATCATGTCAGTCCCTACTCAAAGTTCTTTATTAGCTCCCCAAAGCACTCAGGATAAAAGGCCAAAGGCCTCAGTACTACCCATGGGAATCCTATTATCACCAATTCCTCTCAGCTGCTCGCACTGCTGCAGCGGATCCCCTTCACAGTCTACCAATGGGACCCACTCTGTCCTACACAGGTGTGAGCTCCCACTCACATCCTAGCCTTCACACATGCCACTCCTTCTGCCTTGAACACTATTTCTATTCTCCCTTTTCACCCTTCTTACAGGTCTAAGGCAGTGGGAGCAAACAGGAGAAATCATGCCATAGGGTGCTGTCTGTATCATCAAAGTTTTGAAAGGTTTGCCATCTCTACTCTAGGTTCCATGCTAAACTGTCACTTCTTCCAGGCCACCATCCTCTACCATCACCCCAGCCAGTGTAGGTGGCCCCTCCCATGGCACTTTGACAACTGACTGCTCCAGGCAGTTCATACCTCTATGCTTCCTGCCCCCGAGCATGGCACTTGTTCCCCCTCACCCACCACTGTATCAGAGGCACCAAAATATCTGCCAAATAGAATCTAAGTTTAAAGAACATGTATGAATGTGCGCCATGCAATACAGGACAGTGCTAAAAATCAGGTATGACCTGATGAAAAGGCAATAATTTTGTTAACCTTTGTTTTAAGATACCAACTACACAGATGTTTACAAACACCCTCAGGAAAAGTTAAAACATGCACACTAAAAAGAACACTTTTCACCATGAAGCATTAGCTCTGCACTTTACTACTGCTGTTAGGCAAACTGGAGTTCATAGAAAATTTCAAAAAGAAGCCTTTGCTGCTTGCAGGTCAATTAAAGCACCACTGGAACTTCTGCTATCTGCTACTACCAAACTCTCTTGGCCTTACTAAGAACCTGCTGACTAAAGGCAAGACTCTTCCATTCCTTAGTTTCTAAACCCTGATGTAAGTCTTTTGATAAGGATTCCACTCATAATAGTCTCGATGACATAAGCATGTTGCCAGGAAACAGACCTCTGGCACTCTGGGCCACATATCTTACAAGAAGGTACAATGTGAGGCTTGTGACACCACATATTTCCAAGGCAGCAGACTGATGTCATAAATGTGACAGTTCAAAGCACTCTGAAGAACTCATCAGCTCCCCCCTACATTGTGTATAAAGCAGCAAATTATCCTTTCTCTTTAAGCCTCAGTTTCCCCAACTAGTAATAGATAATGGTTCCTACCTTATAAGGTTTTTGAGGAAACTAGACTGCCCGTGAAAGCACCTCACAGACAACCCAATTTATTTGCAAGTCAAAATGAAGGAAGACATTGAACCTAAAATATTTTCACATCTTCCAGACTCGTGGTAATACCCTAACTTACATTTGACTAAAGTCCTTTCACTAGGAAGTTTCTGAAAAAGAAAATGAAACTACTTCATCATAACTTTTGGAATCTACAACTCTACAGAAATTTACATTGAGAATCACTTATGTTTCCCTGCACTCCTAAAAGCACAGTTAATTTCTGTTACCCATTCCTGCATGGAAGATGGCAAACAGAAAATACCTGTTTTTTTCCAAGATGTTCTCATCCAAAATAACCCTTTCCTTCCTACTTGTAGTATCTTCATATACATTCAGTGTTTTTAAAAAAGGGCTCAATCACAAAAGTTGGTCTTTGTCAAGGGCTCCAGTTTGCTCAATAGAGAGCTACAGCCATGAGGTCTGCATGAGCACCTGTTAGGCAGCAATTCACTAAACCCATGGTGTTCCAAGGCCAGTTTAGATTTTAAAGGGAGTGGAGGTTTCGCTCATTTTTGACCCTAACACGGGATAGCCAAGTAACGACACACACTACTCACTGTGAACATTTTTATCGTTTTTTCCAGTGGAGAAAGAGGAATTCGAAAGCCAGCTGAGGAAACTGGCTATCATGCTCCCCAAGTCAAGCTGACTTAAGGTTTGGTTGTTTTGGGTTTCTTTTGTTTTTCACAAGAGAATTTCACAGACCTCCTAAAAATGTGTTGTAAATAAAGGTGAGACCTCAAAATAGTCTTCTAACTTTTAAGGTAGCCTGCGTTCTGAACTCGGGTTTTTATAAACGAGTGACGTGTGAACAGCTTCCCAAAAGCAAATGGGGCACTGGGATATAATTTAGGAAGTGATGATGCAAGTCTCTGGGGAACAGGGAGGAGGGGAGGTGAAAAAGTCAGAGGAAATACCCTCCTGGTGCCTGGACACCAACTCATATCACAGGCCAAAAGAAAGGGGGAGCCCTGCTCCAACCAGGAGGTGCCAACGCCGCCCCTTCATATCCCCCCTACGCTGCCCTGCCCCCCACCCGTGGCCGTCGCCCCACACCTCGGGTCAGCTAGTCGCAGAGGGTGGCAGCACCCCAGGCAGGGCCGACTCAGCCCACTCTCGGCCCCCGCCCCGCTGCCCTTCTCAGCCCGGCCCCAGCCCCCTCCTTCTAGGCCCTGCCCCGGCCCGGCTCCAGGTCGCGGCCTCCGGGGTCCGAGGCCTGGCGGGCAGCCGGGTGCCCGCGCCCGCCGCCCCCACCCGGCCGGACACTTACCCCCAGAAGCCGCAGGGACAGCGAGGCGGCAGGCTGGGCGCTTTGCTGCGCTCGCTCCCGGCGTCTCCCATGGTGCTCGGCGGCGGCGGCGGAGCTCGACGGCGGCAGCGGTGGCGGCGGCTGGGCCTGGGCCCCGCTCCGAGGAGGCGACGGCGGCGGCAGGGGGCTCGGGCCGGGGGGAGGGGGAGGGAGCGGGCGCGCGGGCGGGCGCGAGTCCGGGGCTCCGAGCCGGGATTCCAGGCCGGTCAGCTGGAGGCGGGCCGCACCACTCGGCCTGCGGAGACGGGGGTGGGGGGGCCGGGGCGCGGAGAGGGAGGGCGGGGAGCTCGGGAGGAGGGGCGTGCGGGCGGACGAGGGCCGCGGCGGAGGAGGGCGACCCGGAGGCTTTGGCAGCTCCCGCCGCCGCTCCCCGGCCAGAGCGAGGTCCCGTGCAGCGGCTCGGGGACAGACCTGAGGCCCCCGCCAGCCCCGGAGTCGCCGCGGCCGCTGTGACGCCCGAGGCCTCGCTCCCTCCGCAACACGCTCCCCTCCCCCGGAGGCTGCGCTGACCGGACAATGGCCGCTCCGCCCCCTCCCCTCCGCGTGCTCCCCTCCCGAGGAGCCGCGATGGTCTCGCCCGGGGAAGCCGCCGCCAAAGCCCAGCAGCTGATCAGCTGGGATCCGGGCGTGCCACTTTGTTCCGCGGCTCAGAGTCCGGGGCTGTGGGCAACGCCGAGAGCGTCGAGCAACGGGCTTCTGAGGCCTTCGTGTTCTAGGAACTTTCAAAATCTGAGGCAAACTTACTTCCCCCTGTCAGAGGAAGGAGAGCATGTTTCTGAGTACTCTGGGCGCTTCCCCCCCAGCAAAGCGAATGGTATGCTCCAAACAGGAGGGGGAGGAGCAGATTAGTTGTTTAGGGTAAGTTGGGCCAGTCCCAGAGCGGCGGCGCATGCGCCCGGAGACCCCACAGCCGGGTGCTGGGAGGGGCCGCGAGAGAGCCTTGCCAAACCCGGAAGTGGGTGTCGGGCTTCCCGGGGCTGTCGGGGTCTTCCCCTGTTGGCTGCGCCCCAAAGGCGGTCTCCTTACCCTTGGACGATGCTGGGGTGCGTTTCTCCCCAAATTACCAACACCCCTGGTAATCTCTCTCGCTTCCCAAAGCCCCACACCCAACCCACTCTTCCTGTTCCACCCGGAAAACCGGTCTCCTTTTAGCTGTAATGAATTTCTGAAAAAGACGTAATTCTCCCACCCCCACTTCCACCCAGCTAATGATTTGGGAGGTTAAGTTCCGTCCTCGCCAGTGTCTCAGACTCAGAGCTACAAGTCCACTCCGTGTGCCTTGACTTGGACAACATTTCTTGTAGAGTGGAGATATTTGGTTTTCTGAGGGGACATTTGACTGAATCAATGATGGAAACTGATAAATGACCAAAGAAATCTGAACCATTACAAAGTGTTCTGGTTTAACGTTCTTTGTGCTTGATCTTGAACTCTGTTCCCCTGCCAATTGTGAGCAGGATAGCCGGTTGATAACTAATTTCAACACAGCAAATTTGCACCAAATGTCACGGGAGAGATAACCTGCCCCCGAGGGATAATTTCAAATCCTTGCTGCTTCCGGGAAGGTTCCTGGCTACCCATCCGATGCCTCCGGATATTCCCTATATTAATTTTATTACCAAATGTTGACTTTGTTTATATACAGCACATTTCAGTTTCACATTCTCTGGATTTCTTAACATAGTGTCCTTGGCCTCTAAACTTCTAGAGCAAGAACCATATTCAGCTCCGTATCTTTCTAAAGATGCTGTTGGTAGAGAAGAAAATATTTGTAAAAACCAAGCTACTTCACTGGAGCACTCCCGAAACGTAAGTGCTGGTTTTTCTGCATTATACTTAGTTTCAGTTTTGTGAACATTGACAAGTCTTTAATAAATATTTCTAGGGGGCTGGGGGTTTAGCTCAGCGGCGTAAGCACCTGCCTTGCAAGCAGGCAGTCGTGAGTTCGATCCCTGGTACCGATAAAAAGGAAAAAGACAAAAAATATATATATATATATATTTCTAACAAAAGTTTGTAAGATGAATGAAGCCATACAGAATACTTCACTCACATTGACTTCATATTGCCCTTAAATCTTAAACTGATTTTTTTAAACATTTGCCACCTACATAAGAACTGTACAGCCTCTGAATTTAACAAAGTGAGATTAACTGGAACTGTCTTTACTGGCATCTAAATAAATGATTTTCTTTTATGTATGGAAAAAGAAATCTCTGAAACCCAAAGGAAAATTTAATATAAAAGTGATTATCTTACAACTGGTTGCCAGTTTGTCAGTTATTTAATTCCACAAGCATTTATGATGTACAAGGCATTTCTTATATCTCTGAAGACTAAAAGGATTAATAAAATAGCATTCATTCACTAGGAAGTCCGAACTCTACATAAAGAAGTTAAGTAATCTGGCTTCAGTCTTCCTCTCGGGCTTTATTTACTGCTCTCCTCCATGCATACTGCAAATTAGCCACTAGTTACTGCTGCTCAAAAACAGTTTGCTTTTTTTTTTACATTTCCATGTCTTTGTTCCTCCTATTCCCCTTTGCCCCAAGTGCCCTTCCTCCTCCCAGGGCTCTCCCTTCCTCCATGTATGTGTGTGTCTGTGTCTCTGTGTGTGTCTCCCTCCCTAGCCCTAGCTAGGGAATGAACCCTGGGTCTTTGCATTGAGCTGCACTAAATTGTCCAAACTATACTCAAGCTTGTAATCCTCCTGCTTCAGCCTCCCAGAGTACTGGGATTACAGGTGTGCCTTGATAATAGATTGTGTCAGTTTAGTTTTTCCATACAGCAACCATGAACTCAGCAACCATGGACTGAATTTGCTCTGAGCACAGTTCCTTTTAGAGCTCAGACAAGAAACAAACATGTAAATTTCCTGGTGGTTACTATGGGATAGTATGTGGACAGAGGAGGGAGGCACAGACTCTGCTGTGGCAGAGTTTGGAAGGCACTGAAGAGATAATATCTCCTAAAGGGCCAGGGTGATCCTGAGTAAGAGGAGGAGGAGGAAGTATGGTGCCAGTCGCCTGTGACCCCAATTCCTCTGAGAGGCTGAGGCAGGAATATCACATGTTCAACCCAGCGTGGACAACTTAGCAAAACTCTGTCTCAAAATTAAAAATTAAAAAAGGGTTGGGATGTAGCTCATTGCAAAGCCTTTTGTTAGATCCCTTCACCACCAAAAAACAGCCAGTGTCAGCCAAAGGTCTTTTGTCTGCCAGAAACAAAATCGCACTTAAACTTTCTCGTGCAAAAAAGAAAGAAAGAAATGCACATGCCTATGTGTGTATAAAACCTTCCGGAACCTGAAGGCTCAGAGCAGTGAGATCTCACAGAGGACTGCGATGAGGACCTGATATACCACAGGCAGCCAGGAACTGCTCTCCTAGCTCTTTTTCTCTCTCTAGTCCTGTGTTCTTCCTTCCCTTCTCCTCTCTCCAAAACCGGTTCAGTCTTCTGACTTTGAGTGCGTCTCTGGCACATCGTTTGAGCTTGCTTATCCCTGTTTCCAAAACCAGTGAGCCTAATTAGCACCCATGAACCGCAATCCCCAGGAGAGAGAAACTGAAGGGTCCAATTTATGTCAGGTTTTGTCTGCTCTTGGTGCAGAATCATCTTTGGCCAGGGGAGCAGATGGCAGTCGAGGCTCTTGTGATACAAACCCGGCTGCCAGGGCTCCATCCTTAAAAACTGCAAATCCCCAAAACATCAGCCATATTCTTAACAAACATCCAAAAGGTAGCTGCCACAGACAAAAAGTAATAAACCGCTGGGGCTGGGGATTTAGCTCAGATGCATAAGCACCTGCCTTGCAAGCAGGCAGTCGTGAGTTCGATCCCCAGTACCGATAAAAAAAAAAAAAAAGAATAAACTGCAACCGAAATTCAAAACCACAAGGAAAAGTGAACTTGTGTAAGAACTGTCTAATGGACTAATTCCTATTTAAACTCTTTTGGGCCTTGATTTAAGTGGTGCCCCTTAAGCCCTCACTGATCCGCAAACGTGTTTTCCCCTCATTGTCTCACATGGTACTTTTCCTACGCAACAACTACCAGTTATAATTAAATATGTATTCATGAGTCTCCTCTTCAAAGGTCATATCTGTTTTGTTCCTCGTGATATCCACAATGCCCAGGACCTGTTTGGAAGACATTCTATGAATATCTGTTGAAAGAATAAAAAGGCACAGTAATTTGTTAGTCAGTGTGAGACTCAGAGATAGCTTGACTTTCCTGGAGACATGTACCAGTCACCAACTCACCTTCCCTAGAAGACCCTGAACCTCACTGCTAGCTTTCTGATCATAGTTTAGTGGGAAATAAGACCCCGCGTTTATCTGCTTTGTCTTACGACATTCCTGGCCAGCAAACTCTTCACTCTTAGTCCCAAAGTCTCTAGCTGAAGAGATTTGATCTAATTCCTGTAAAATGCCCACCTAGTTGGCTGAGAGCTCCAAGAGGACATAACGTTTCAGGGCATCATCAAATTAGGGGACCAAAGTGTGGGGGTCATTGGCAGAAGTGCCGTTGTCATAGTCATCTCAACTATTTTCCAGTGTGGATTATGCTCCAGATGAACCTGTCGTGTCTCTTGGGAGTAGTTGCAACCACCATTGGCCCAAAAGGAGCCGTCTCTGCTTAGCAGGTGCGGGTAAAGAGTAATACGGAAGCTGTGGCAGCCAGGGCTCTTGCAGTAGCATCTACAGTTGTATGGGAAAGAACCCAGCACCACTTCAGGGCAGGGCTCCGAAGGGCTACCCTCCTGGTAAAAGCCCCAGGGACTCCTTATGCAGTCCTGGGAGACAGGACAGAAAAGATAGGGCTTAAAGGAACTGACAAAGAGCAGAGGGCCCTCCACTCTGGTTCTAATCCTTACCCCAACTCTTTGAGCCCTGAGTCTGGCTCAAAGACTCTGATCATTATAATTCCTTCTAACCTGGAATTAGCCTTGATGGCCAATCCAAACACTGGCCTCCATCTTCATCCTAATCTTCATAGTATCTGTAAAATTTAATCCCGGATTCCAGATCTAATGCCACCCATCATTCTAAGAGTTTATCGAAGGCGTTGGCCTGACCACCAAAGCGGTTTTCCCAGCTCCTTTTCCTTGTGACCCTTGACCTTGATCCTCTCGTGGGAATATAGACCCTTGTAACATCCTAGACTCTGGGGAGAATGGGAGCCAGTTTCAATAACCAGAAAAAGGAAAAAAGCCCTTTTTTGAGGAAAAAGAATATCGGGTATTTCTCACCTGTTGGCTCATTTAGGAGCAGTTCTGCCCCTTCACAAGGCCAAGACACAGTCCACATCAGCTGCATGGACTCAGAGGTGGTGGACATGGCCTAGAGCGGAGGTGAGGTCCTTTTGCAAAAAATAAAAAGAGTTCCACTAGGCAATGGCTCTGTTTTCAGAGAGCAAGATTTCCCACTACGGCGGCTCTCCTCTCTGCCTCAGGTTGGTTCCAGCAGGGAGAGATGTTGAAAGTGACTGAACCAGACTTCTCTAGGGTTCCTTCCGGCCCTCGAGTTCTTGATGTGCAGTTGGTTGTTGTAGTCACTTTCAATCCGGTTGGCTTGGATAAACTCTCAGAGCCAAGGGAAAACAAGGGCAACCAAGTGTCCCATCCCCAGCCCATCTCAGGAAACTAAGTTAAATAAAATGAAAAGCACAGTGGTCGCTTGTGTTCAGGAAATTGCTGATTTCCTGGCTGCTCACACCCATCTTGCTATGACATTTGATTTTATTGACTTTTAAATTATTTTTCAATGCATAAATGTTTTTCGAGGAAACACTTGACCTATGTTGGGAGAAGGGATTTAAATAGTGAGAAGTCTTGCCTATTACGACCACCCCAGTGATATCCTTTGGTAGCAGCTTGTTGTAAGCCCTGAGGATATTTCATTAGTATGTTGCCATATAAACAAGTCGGTGCAAGGCAGTATAGTCTAGCTGTTTTTTAATGAACTCTGAAATATGCCATAGGCATCTTTCATATCTCTGCACATAGCTTTGCAATATAGTCTTATAGCCGATTGTATTACTTAAGGTCCTTCAGAGAAATAGAACCAATGGGAACCAATTCATACATGTGTATTATACGAAAACCAGAGAGATTTTAGAGAGAGATTTATTACAAATAAATTGAATTGGTTTTATAGTTATGGAGAATGAGAAGTCCCAAAATCTACAATCTAAAGGCCTGAGAACCAGGAGAAGCCAAGCTGTAAATTCTAGTCTAAGTCCAGAGGCAGCTAGTGTCTCAGTTCAGATAGCATCAGGCCGAGTGACTCCCATCTTGCTCAACCTTTTCTTCTTCAGGGGGAAGAGAGGACTACTGAACCCAGGGCCTTTGCACTGAGCTACATTCCCAGCTGGGTTTTTGTTTTTATTTTTAGGGGGGTTTTTTTGGCAGTTTGTTTGTTTGTTTGTTGTTATTTAGATGATCTCACTAAGTCACTAATTTGCACACCTAACCTTCTTGTTCAACCTTTTGTTACTCAGGCTTTCAACTGGAAGATGCCTGCCCATCTTGGGGAAAGGAGACCAGTGGAAGTCTCTTTTTTGCGAAAGGACTTCACCTCTGAGTCCATGCAGCTGACGTGGACTTTACTTAGCCTACAGGTTTGTTTTCTTACATTCTCAGCCTGCTGTACAAAAAATACTGTAATTGGGTAGCTTATGAACATCAGAAATTTATTCCTCACAGTTGTGAGAAATCCAAGACCAAGCCACATGCAGATTTGGTTTGATAAGGGCTTACAATGTGCTTCAAAGATGGTGCCCTCAGGCTGAGGATACAGCTCAGTGGCACAGCACGAGGTCACAAGTTCAATCCCTAGTAGCAAAAAAAAAAAAAAAAAAAAAAAAAAAATGCAGTTGAGTGACTAAGCATAGGCACAGAGCCCTTTCCGTCTGGTCACAGGATTTGGAGTTGCCTCAGGGAGACATGGCTCATTCTCTGAGCCAACTTGCTATCTTCATCTCCTGGGATCAAGTGTCCTCAAGATCACATAAGCCCAGAGCTGCTGTGGGACCTTCTGTCTGGAGTAAGGCTGCCTGGCGATCAATCCAACAAAAAGGAAGGAAGAGAAAGAGATTGAATTAACAAGATGTCATTTCAGACCTTAAATCCAGCTAAGCCTGATGCCAGAACTGCCCTTTGGACTTTTCAGTTATCTGGACCAATAAATACCTCTCCCTATACACATACTCTTACGTTAGATTTCAGCACATTTCCATGAGAAAAGTCCTGACTATCCCTAATATCTATTTTATATTGTGGGTTTGTTGTGAAAATTAAAGTATATAATTCAAGAGGAAACCTTATCTTAGTACACAATTTATTGAGTATAAACTCGATAAATGTGTATTATTATTTGTTTCTTCTTGATAATTATTGGCCACTCTAGTGTATGGGTATACCCTTTGAAGAATTCTCTCTTGATTCAGTTTTCCCTCATTTATTCATTTATATACGTTTATTCATTCAACAGACATTTGAGCACCTATTGTATTAGGAACTATCAGAGGTATTAAGGTACAGTTCAAATGAGGCATAAATTCCCTGCTTTAGTGCTTATACTGTAGTAATAAGGCAAGCAATTTTTTCAAATATTTAGAAGAACAAACCCCACTTTTCATGTTTGTAAATAATTACAGTGAACATCTTTCATCTTTGCCTGTGTGTCCTATTAGTATCTTGGATATGGTTTTTTGTTTGTTTTTTGTGGTTCTGGGGATTGAACTCATCGAGCTTGCCAGGCAGGCACTTAGGCCACTGAGCTAAATCCCCAGCTTGGATATGTTTTTAAATGGGGTCTCATCATAATGACCAGACTGGCCCCACGCTTCTAGGTTTAAGCCATCTTTCTGCTTCAGCCTGTCAAGAAATGAGAGCTACAGGCTTGCACCACCCCCACTTGGCTTTTGGATAAATTTTTGCTTATGTTTTGAGACAGTCTCACTATGGAATTTAGGTTGTACTCAAACTCACTATGTAGCGCAGGCTGATCTCCAACTCACAGCAATCCTCTTGCCTCAGCCTCACAAATTCTGGCATTACAGATGTGCACCAGCATGCCCAGTTTTTTTGGATAAAATTTTTGGAAAAAAAAAATCATGATACTCTTTTAATAGTCATTACACGTGGTCAAACTTTGTTCCAGAAAGGTTATACCTACTTGCACTCCCTACAGCAATGAACAAAAAACGTAGATTTCCCCATACCTCAGTAGCCTTGGGATAGCATTACTCTTTGCAATTATTGCCAATGTAAAGATAAAAAAACCCTCCTAATGGTTATTTCAATTTGCATTTTTAGAATTATTGAGCTCCAGGCACACATATATGTTTACTTGTATTTATAATTATATATAAGATGTATTTTACATATAAGATGTATATGTATTTCTAAAAATATGTGTGCATAAATATATATAAAGTATTTAAATCTTTTTTTTTGTATTGCCCTATTTATGTCCTGTTTTTCTTTCTTTTCTTTTCTTTTTTTTTTTTTTTTTTTTTGTCTTTTTCCTTTTTATCAGTACCAGGGATTGAACTCAGGACTGTCTGCTTGCAAGGCAGGTACTTATGCCGCTGAGCTAAATCCCCAGCCCCTTATGTCCTGCTTTTCCACGTGTGTTTTTTATTATTATTTAAAGGTATTAATGTTCACATTAAGAATACAGACACTTTGTCAAATGCATTGTGAATTATCCCTCTTATCATTTGCCTCTTACTTGTTTCTAGGCTTTTCATTTTCAAGAGTCTGAAAATGTGAATTAACTTTGTCTAATGTTTGAATTGCTGACACCGACACTTTTTCTAAAGGCCTCTAGTTGTTTGTGCATTAAAAAGAAAGAAAAGGAGAGAATTAAAAGGAAATCACAAGGTAGGAGGGGGAAGACATAAAGGAATCCTGTTCCCTGGCCCATCCTGCCTGTCCCGCCTCATGTCAGGCAGTCTGCGGTCCACAGCCAGGGCCTCTGTGGTCAGCCCAGCCGCTGGGGCCTGGTGCCAGCCCGGTGCTCCTGGAGTGAACCACCCAGGCCACGGGCCCCATCCTTCCTGATTTCACATCCAGAGGCTTTCAAGAAGCAGCTAAGAGCCACTGCTTATAACGTAGCTCTGTGAGGCCCCAGAAACTGGCCTGACATTTCCCACCAAGCCCCTCCACCTGAGCAGTCTGGAGATCACCTCTAGGGCTGAATATCACCCCATGCACCCGGCGGGTGCTGGGCTGTGAAGTTGCCGAGCAGCACAAATGGCTATGGTCCGGGAAGAGGCTCCGATGCCAAGGCTGAGATCAAAAAGCTAAGGCTGGTGTCTTCACATGGGTGTCCCCAGAAGCTAAGCCTGAGACAAAGATGGGGAGGGACAGAGAGCATAGCTAGGGATAAGAGCGGATCACTGAGCCAGCTGTTGCTGGAGTGGTGAGAGCTCTGTGCTGTGGGGACCTGGCCAAGCCAGACCTTAAAGTCACCCTGCCTGAGGAGTGGGGGGAAGGTGTCTTCTGCTACACCTGCTTCAGTCAAGGGCTGATGGAGGTCACAGCACCGCAGCCTGTCTGTGCAGGCCACACAACTTCCCTGGAAACACCCTTGGGCAAAGAAGGCCCGTGGAATGGGATGGAATAGCCCCAGAGCCACAAAGGGAGGCAATAAAAATGGGGCCTCGACAACATCTGCTAAAGCTGGGGACAGCTCACACGCGTGCATGCGCGCGTGCGTGCGTGCGTGTGTGTGCGTGTGCGTGTGTGTGTGTGTGTGTGTGTGTGTGTGTGTGTGTGTGTGTGTACTTTGTGTAAATATTTGCTCTGATTACCCAAAGGATTCTTCCTAAGGCTGTGATTCACTGAGCGAGGCTAGTTATCTTCTGGACAGGAATTATGAAGCAGAGTTCCAGTTACAATGGAGATTAGAGAATTAGGTCCTATTAAAGGCACCATGGTTATTTTTCCTGCCCTATGTTACACAGCTAGAAAAAGGTGAGCAGTGCGAGACAGAGGCCTCATCTGTGTTGCTCCAAGGAGCGTGAAAAAGGACAGAGGTCCAGGTGTAGGAAACCTGGTTTCCACAGGATCCTCGCAGCCCGCAGCTTCTTCCCGGCAGCCGGGGAGCTGGGCAGGCGGAGGCGATGCAGCTGCCATCTGTCCCCCTGGCTCCACTGCCTGGCAACTGGCTGCTGCGTCTGCTTTGGGCTCCGGAGGAGGAGGCATTCCTCCACGGCCCATCGAGCAGGATGAGGGGCTGCGCCCTCGCCAGGGCCGCACCACATGATGGATTCGATGATTATGGCTTTCCGATGTGGGGGTGCTCAGTCATGTAGCATACACGGTCCCATCTGCCACGAATCTTCAAAGCATGGCTGGGAGGAAAAATCTGCACACTGTTCGCGTATGCATACCAGTGGGTGTGTGTGTACACAGAGGCACAGTTGTATACACAGGTGTAAACCTAGGCATGTGGTGTGTGTGCTCACACTGCTGTGCACATAAACGCTGAGCATTCCCCATTTCCAACACGGAGATTAGTTAGCAAATAATGCATTAATAAATAATAATGCTACTGTTGTCTGAATGCTTTCCCTAACCACAGTAAGTGCTTTATACATATTGGTTAATCTAATTATAGGTTATAGTTAATATAAACCTTAAAACTACTGTGCTAGAGAAATTTTATCTTCTTCATTGCATGAGGATACCAAAGTTCTCAAGCTTAAATGAGCTGCCTAGGAGCTTTGTAAGTGGTAGAGTCAGGGTTAGAGACCATGTTTCTTACACCACAGTGCACGATATTTAATTTTCATCCCTCCCTAAATCATCTAGGAATGAGAAAGAATGAGGAAATTACACATGACAATAGGAATGCTTCACATAAAGCTAATGCTGAGTAAGAAGGCAGACACAAAAGAATACCCACTACATGATTTTGTTTATGTAGATTTTTAAGAGAAAAAAAAACCCAGAATTTCAGAACACAATAATTAGAGGGTAACAATGGTTAATATATTGCATATTGTTATCTTTAAATTAATTACTCAGAGTACAAGAGAACTGCAGTTAGTTGTCCAAACAGTATTAGTACAAATCTTGCATTTCAGTGAGCTAGGAGAAATTAGTAGTATCACTATGTTAACTATTTTATATATATATGAAATAGCTTCTCACCCTAGGGAGACAATATGGTGTTTACACAAATGTATCTGGCTTATTTCATTTACGAGTGCAGTCTCTAGTTGCATTCATTTACCTATAAAAGTCTCAAGTTATCCTTTTTTATGGCTGAATAGTAGTACACTGTATAAAAATACCACATCTTTTTGGTTTATTATTTTTTTTTGTCTTTTTTTCGTTTTTATCGGTACCAGGGATCAAACTCACAACTGCCTGCTTGCAAGGCAGGTGCTTATGCCGCTGAGCTAAATCCCCAGCCCCAAATACCACATCTTTTTAAAAAAAATACCCCGTCTTTTTTTACCCATTCTTCAGTTGATGGTTTCCAAGATCTAGCTATTGCAAATTGCACTGCTATAAACATGGGTACACATATATCGCTGTGGTGTGATGTTTTTAATTCTCCCAGTAAGATACCCAGAATGGGAAGAGCTGAGTCAAATGGGCCCTCCAGGCCTAGTTTTTTGAGAACTCTCCACGCTGATTTCCACAGTAGTTGCACCAGTCTGCACTCCCACCAACACTGAAGAAGGGTTCCTTTCTCCTCACAGCCCCTCCAGCATTTGTTGTTGCCTGATTTTTTTAATTTATTGTTGATTTTTTTGATAATAGCTATTCTTCCCAAAGGGAGGTGGAATCTCAGTTTTAATTTGAATATCTCAAATGACCAGTGAGGTTGAACATTTTTTTATGTATTTATTTGCTGTTTGTATTTCATCATCTGAGAAGTAATGTATTCATCTCAGACTCCCATTTTGGGGTTGAGTCTTTTAATTTGGAAGGTCTAACTTTTTTTTTTTTTTTTTTAGTTCTTTTCATGTTCTCGATAGTAATTTTTTGTCTGAGGAACAGCTTGCAAACATTTTTTCCCACTCTGTGGGCTGTCTCTTCACTCTGTTGGTGGTTTCTCTTGCTGTGCAAAAGCGTTTTAATAAGTTGAAATCCCAGTTGTTGATTCTTTGTGATAGTTCCTATGCAATCAGGGTTTTATTCATAAAGTCTTTGCCTACACCAATGTCTGCAAGAGTTTTACCTGTTTCATCTTCCAGCATATTTGATGTTTTTATTTCAATATTTAGATTTTTGATCCATTCCAAAATTTAGTGCCTTGTGAAAGATATGGGTCCAATTTTAATCTTCAGCATGTTGTAGAGTCAGTTTTTTCAGCACCATTTTTTAAAATTTTTATTTGGGTTTTTTTGGTCCTGGGGATCGAACTCATGACCATGCACTTGCAAGGCAGGTGCTTGTGCTAAGCTAAATTTTATTTTATTTTATTTTTGTCTTTTTTCTTTTTTATCGGTACTGGGGATCGAACTCATGACCGCCTGCTTGCAAGGCAGGTGCTTATGCCGCTGAGCTAAATCCCCAGCCCCTGCTAAGCTAAATTTATTAGCTTATCCAGTACCATTTATTGAAGAGGGTATCTTTCTTCCAGTGAATTTGTTTGACACCTTTGTCAAAAATAAGGCGCCTTCGTGTGTCTGGAGTTGTTTCTGCATTGTCTAATCCATTTCTCTGATCTTCAGGTCTTTTTTTTTTTTTTTTTTTTTTTTTTTTTTTGCCAGTACCATGTTTTTTGCCAGTTACATGTACTGTTTTTATCCCAATAGCTTTATAGTATAATTTTAAGTCAGGGATTCTGATGTCCCCTGTCTTGCCTTTGTTGCCCAAATTTGCCTTTGCTAGGGCTCATCTGGTTCCAGATAAACTTTAGGATTGTTTTCTCTAATTCTGTGATGTATGCTATTGGAATTTTGATTGGAATTGCATTAAATCTGTGTAACAGTTTTGGAAGTATGGCCATTTTTACTATATTGGTTCTTGCTATCTAAAAGCAAAGGCTGTCTTCCCTTTTTTTTTTGGTCTTTTTCCTTTGTCTTTCCATTTTCTAATATCCTCTTCAATCTCCTTTTCCATTAAAGTTTAAGAACAGGCAGAACTAATGTACAGCATTGAGAACTGTTGGGTTTATAAAGGGCAGAGAAAGACTAGCAGTGGGCACTGAAGGGGCCCCGGGGAGCTAGGCGTCCATCATGCTTTATTGCTTGATCTGGGCACAAGATACACAGCTACATTCTGCTGTGTGAACTCATTGAGCTGTGCACACATGACTCGTGCATTTTTCTCTATGATTGTTTCACCGCTAGCTCAAAATGAAACAAAAACAAAACTCCTTGCTAGGTGCTAGGAGGGATTCAGGGACAGGAAGCATCCCAGGACCTGCCCTCAGGGAACACCTCTTCCAATTGGGGTGACACAGTCTGAATGCCAAAGACT